GAGATATATATACATCGAGAAAAAGACACACGGTAACAATAATCTCACTTATCACTGAAAAAAATATATGCGTTCAGCAGAGAGAACAGATTAGTGAGTGCTCAATGATTCTTTAATATGATTGATTCTTGCTTTTATTTAGATTTTCTGGATTTAAGAGCAGAAACCAATCGTAATAAAAATATCATTAAACACACACTGATCTGTTTTATCTGTTATCATCATATCAATTGAATAATATAGGTATGTATACATCAATCGAAACGTGCGTAGCTGCAAGGTTAGAAATCCTAGCGCTCTAGCGCCTCTTGCGTCAAAAATTGTAAAAGGACATTTCATCAACTCCGCAACTGGGCGACGACAACTCCGACGACAACTCCGCAACTCCGACGACGACGACGATGACAATAATAATAATGTTTCTTAATCTTAAATTCCCAACATTTCGGACTTTGCATTGCAATATTTCCACTCGTAAGGCACATAAAAAGAAATAAAAACACTTTCATTACACAAAACAAACCTAAGGTGTCGATTAAGCCTACTTGGAACTTAATCGGTTCGACCGTTATTGAGATCTCATAATCTCGGATGCTCGCAACGTGACAGCTCGCGTGAAGAGCATGGCTTGACATATACATTTTATAGACATACATATATTTTATTTATATTTTATTTATATTGTAATTGCTTTAACGAGCGGAAAGCAAGACTCGTCGTTACCCGTCGCTATAGTCAGGGCGAAAAATAGTCGCGATTCTAATACCTCATAATTACACGGCAATCGAAAACGCAAAGTTAGGCGCCAGGCACAAGCGGGCGTGCCACCCTTCGAAATAACTACACCGAATTACAATCCCTGACATACGTAGGATGTTCGTTACGAAACAACACGGGAAAGATAAGACGCTCGAAACTCTAACTGTCGCGATCGGTGGACGATTCCGATGACTGGTAACTCACAATCAGCCCCGAAATTTGGCAGAGGGGCGGTTTGTAGGAGCGCAAAGGAATGCGGGAGAGGAAGGGCGTTATTGAAAGCACACGAATTTAATAACAAATAACAAGCATAATTGCGTGCACTGTAGCTTACAAGCGTTTTAGCTAGTCGCGTATGATGTGGCGATAACCGTTAATATTCTCGTCAGCTTCTTGAACTGACCGGTGTACAAGTTTTTCGTTATAAATTCTACTTCGATTCGCGAAATACAATGTCGCGGCACGCGCGAAGTACGCCACGCATGGTGTAATGGCCGATCACACGCCACGTGGTGTCGTGATATTCTCGAAACTCTGCCGAAAGCTCGGCACGCTACGAATCGCACCGATTCTTAAAATGAACACGAAACAACACTTAAATAACATACAGATGACCCGGCTGTGGCAAGGCGAGTGCAAATACTTTACTTCGCGTAATTTTATGCCGGACGGACGGCGCGGCACACTGACTCTACTCGCGGACATACAATTACACGGACGACGAAACTTTAACAGCGCAATCCGCCCGACAATGAAATCGGCGCGACAATATAATTTTGCAACATTTGTCTTACCAAGAACGGCAGCTAAGATCTCGAATTCTCGTCCAGGCACTCGGCAGCTAAACGGGATCCTGCGTCCTTCCTTGGTAACGACTACAGCACAAGTGTCGTTCGACAGTCCTTCCGGCAGCACGCAGATCGCGAGGTGTCACGGGATCGACTGATAATGTGCCAATTAGTCCTTGCCCTGCGAGCGCGACGCCCGCGAATCATAGCGTCGCACGTGATCGGATCGCCCGCAATCGGCGGCGCGAGCTTCAAATTTAGCCCGATTTTTCCGGGCCTCGGGCCCGCGACTTTCTCGGCTATTCCACCGCCGGGTGCTTGTCCGCCTTGCTCTCGTATGTTTCGCCGTCGGCAACCGGGTCCTCTGCAACCGTGAGAGTTGCTCCAACGTAATGTGCTTTCCTCACGGTTTTCTTCCACGTATGGCGGTTGCGTCCGGTCCGCGATTCCTGTCTTTCCTTACGGATTGCTGAAAAGAATCGACAGCAGTAAAGGGCTCGCAATAGAGGGCACCAAGACTAATATCTCTCGTAGAGATTATAGCTGACCTGCGTGGTCCGTGCTTTCCACGACGAACCAATCGTTTTGATGCCGGTGTCCTCCCTCTTGCCGATTGGTGGAGACGACGAGGTTTTACACGCGCAAATTTGGCTATGCCGCCGATCTCTACCTACTGTCACGCTCGTGCGAAAGGAAGAAAGTAAAGCGCGCAAAAATATACTAGAAAAACGCACACGCGCAGATATGCTCACCTCCCTAAATCGGAGAGGACGCAGGATCCGAAACCGCGCTTCTTCGATCGGGCATTATGATCCTTGTGACGGACGAAAAACGTCACGTCACAATATTTATATTAGTTTAAACATTTGACACCAAGCCACTACCGTGTCTCCTGATTAAATCTTCTAAGAAATTACAAAAACCAATAAATTGCTGCAGTTGAGTTTTATTTGCGGGCATGAAAAAATTCTGAATTACCTTAATTTTATCAAGATCGGGACGTATCCCTTCTCGTGACAAAATAACGCCTAGAAACGGGGTTTCAACAGCAAAATCTTGCCTTCTCAAGATTTAGTTTAAAATTGTATTTGTTTAATGTTTGTAACAATATATTTACATGTTGTAAATGTTCTTCGAAAGTTTTATGATTAAAATATCGTCTATGTATACAGTTATGAATAAATCAAACGCATTAATTACTTCTTTTCTGATCGCTCGTATGAATGCGCTACCAACCATTTTAAGGCCAAAAGAAACTCTACAGAACTGATATGCCGAACCGTTATGCATAAAAGCAGTAAATTTCCTCGATTTCGCTTCTAACGGAATTTGTCAATATCCATTTTAAATCAAGAGAAGTTATATACTGTACTCTACTGCTCGGAAAACCCGGGTACCCGCCCGCCCGCCCGTCATTCGTTGCACACGGGTGAGAACCGATTCCTCGGGTACCCGTATCAGGCGGGTACTCGTATCACGCGGGTACCCGTACCACGCGGGTACCCGTATCACGCGAGTA